CGCTCGTCAACCGTGGTTTGCAAAGCTTGCGCTCGTCCAACCGTGGTTTGCAAAGCTTGCGCTCGCACGCTTTGCGCCATCGCTTGCTTTTTTTTTTTTTCTTCGCAAGCTCGTCCTTACGGACCTTCGCAAGTAAAGGTTGCTGGCCCTAGCGTGGTTTGGTTGCGCTCGCACCGAAGGTTCCGTTAGGTTCGTCAGAATGAGCAAATTTGTGCGAAACAAAACGAGCAAGCTTGATTTGTGCGAAGGCGCCATCGCTTGCTTTTTTCTTTGTAAGCTTTACTCGCAAGCTTTGCTTGCTCGCTCTGACGAACCTAACGGAACCTAAAGGAACCTCATTTTATGTCGCTTATGCTCTTACTGACATCGGAATCAGTTTAATTTACTATAAAAAATAATAGATCTATGCATTCTTCTTTAGAACTTATTTTAAGGAGCTCGAATCCGTGGCACCTATGGTGCCCTTTGTCTTCTTGTCACATGTAGTTATTGTTATTGTTTTTCTGAATATTTGTTATTTATTTTAACTAAGCCTTTTCTGAAAGTGGTCAAAGCAAACTCAAATTTTATATGTACTCAACTCACAGAATCCTTTAATACTTATATTACCACTTCTTTTTTACTATCCTTTTTTTTTTGTACACCATATTTACTATATCAAATATGGTGTTTTTTCATCCCGAGTTGTAGTAAAACTCAAAGGCTACAACTATGGCGTGCAATTCTCCTTAGTCTATTCGCTTTTTTGTTTGTCTTTTTACTAGTTTATTTGTGGATAATGCCTAATATTTGGTTTTTTTTATATAAGGTAAGCAGCTTCACAGTCTCACGAGGTCTCTTAACTATTCATCTACAGCCTAAAATATATGACTTTATTCTATTGACGTTACGTTTTTTGTTTATAGCTTCTTTGTGTTCACAAGTACCTGTCTTTTTTATATGCTGTATAGAATATAATTTTATTGATCTACAAGATTGCATCAAACATCGAAGAACATTCTTTGTATTTTCTGCTATATTCGCAGCTTTAGTAACACCTCCGGATATTTGGTGCCAAATCGCAGCTTGGTTACCAATTTCTCTTTTAATTGAGATAACTATCTTTCTAGCCTTAATCCGAAACAAGTATAAGGCTTATCTTTTATAATAGTAACTAGAAAGATTTCGTCGTAAACTTTGACAAATAACAAAAGTTAAACAAGAACTCGAAATCCAGGTTCGCAGAAAGAAAAATAGGTTTACTAAAGGTTCCGCCAGGTTGCCGTTTAGGCGACTAAAGGGCAGCTTAAAGGAACCTATTAGTTGGGAGCACCACCGCGAATTTTCTAAAGGCGCCTTCGCACAAATCAAGCTTGCTCGTTTTGTTTCGCAAGCAAAGCTTGCTCACACGCTATCGCAACGGAACCTTCGGTGCGAGCGTAAGCTTTGCAAACCCGCAGAAGGCGCAGAGCGTGCGAGCAAGCTTTGCTTGCGAAACACAAAGCATGCAGGGAAGCAGAGCATATCCGAAGAAAGTTGTGTGGCAAGCGAACCAGAAGGTTGTATCATTCATTATGCGCGTTGGCTTCGCGCCTAGAAATTAGCTTGCGTAGCAAGCGCGTAAGAATATAATGCCCCAAAAGCATCGCAAAGCTTGCCTTCTTACGAACCTAAAGGTCTCCTTCGCAACTCTTAAAAGAGCCTAATCTTATCTTAAAAGAGCCTACCTAAAGGTTCGCAGACTCTAACGAGGTTCCTTTAGGGGAGGGAGGAGAGCGCGGAACCTAACCTTTGGTTCCGTTACGGAACGAACGAGCAAGCGACATTATTAACGGAGACGTCGTTGCTAAAGGCAGGCACCGCTGCAGGGGAAGCAAAGGTTTGCAAGCGCTCACACCGAAGGTCGCGAAGCGTGCGAGCTTGCGAAACAAGCGAAGGCGCGTTGCTTTCTGTGGGTTTGCAAAGCTTGCTTTGCAAGCTTGACTTCTGCAAACTATAATGCGCTTGTTATGCCACGAGCTTGCAAAGCAAGCGAAGGCGCTGCGTTTAGCACCGGATTTGTTTCGCAAGCTTCGCTGCTTGTAAGTTTCCTGTAGAGACCTAAGCGAACGCTTTGCGCCTACAAGGCGCCTTCAGTGCGAGCGTAAGCGAACCTGTTATAACTTTGCTTTCACATACATATATGCAAGGGGCGTCAGAGTCGCACCCTGGACCGCTTGCGTAAATGGACGATTTGGGGGCCGTTTAAGCGCGTCATGCATATATACCCGAGAACCATATGTGATTATGGCGCGAAAACTTGCTTCGCAAGCGAAACATTTTCCAAGATTAGAAGTTTACTAGTTTCCTAGAAACTAAAGTAACTGAATCGTTGGTCTTAGTAGGTATTTAGTACACATCAGTGGGTATGAAGATTTTGTCTTCATACCCACTGATGCTGCGCACCTCAGGGAACCTATTCCTTTTCGATAAAATAAAGCAAACAAACGCATTCTACAGGATTCGAACCTGTGACCTTCAACTTAGAAGGTTGTTGCTCTATCCAACTGAGCTAAGAATGCACCTATCTTTGAGTTACTTTTTTGTTAGATAGATTGAAAAAAAAATTTCAATTTGTTGTATTGGATTCGCGTCTAACAATTTCATTTTAGCCTGTTAGTTGTTGAGTAGCTGAGTACAAAGTTGGCATTACAATTTCGATGAAAGATCATCGGTGTCTCTTAAGGGAGAGTGGCTGAGTGGTTAAAAGCGACAGACTGTAAATCTGTTGAAAGTCTTCTACGTAGGTTCGAATCCTGCCTCTCCCAGTGCTTTTAACTAGGAGACTTCGCTTGTATGGGTACTCAAAAATCTTGAAATTCCGAACCCGCAACTACACTTTTCATTAACCACTTGATTCTTTAGGAGTCTTCTAATTGTTTCAAGAACTAAAAAATCGAAGAAAGAATGTCCGTAGGTGCGAAGAAAATGTCCGAATGCAAATTTATCCCAAACCTATTCGTTAGAAGCTTCGCAAGTATCCGTCGTCTAATAATGTCGCTTCCGGTCCTTGTAGGAAACCTACAAGCAGACCTCGCTTCGCACCCCAACTGGCGCCTTCGGTGTTTATTATGCACGAAAACATACTGGCGTGCGTTTTTATGCAGAACCCCAACGCCAACTGTTTTTCTTCGATAACGACGCGAAGCGTGCGAGCTTGCTTTATTATCTCGCGGGCATTGTTAGGCGCTTGCAAAGCATACCGCTTCGCTTGCGCTCGCACGCTCCGGGCCTTCCCCTTTCAAATAAAACGAGCGCGCGCCCCCCTCCGTCACACCGAGCAAGCGAAGCTTGCGAAGGCTCGTTAGAGTCGCGCATAATAAAGCTCACACCGAAGGCGCGTTAGGTCTCCTAGTAGTGAGCTTAATCAGAGCGAGCAAGCAAAGAAAAAAAAGCAAGGGTCCGGTTGGACGAGCGCAAGCGAAGCAAACCACGGTTGGACGAGCGCAAGCGAAGTAAACCACGGTTGGGCGAGCAAGCAAAGAAAAAAGCAAGCGATGGCGCAAAGCGTGCGAGCGCAAGCGAAGCAAACCACGGTTGGACGAGCGTAAGCGAAGCAAACCACGGTTGGACGAGCGAGCGAAGCTCGCGAAGGAAAGTGCGGATAATGCATGCGCGGCATTATTGGTTCGCCAGAAGAAGGCTGCATGGGTGGGATATGCGCGTTTTCTTTATTATGCCCGAGAGCTTGCATTTTCTTTTTATGTGCGAAGCATGCCCGTAGAAAGTTAGGTTCGTTAGAAATTATGCGCGTTTTATTATGCCCCGAAGAATTTTCACTTGAAAGCGAAACACATACTTGCTTGAAAGCGAAACACATACTTGCTTGAAAGCGAAACACATAAGCTTGCTTGAAAGCGAAAGGCAAACATTATTATATTATTAAATGCATGCATTTAATAATATAATAATGTTTCGCAGAAAACATGCTTTGCGTTGAGCTTCCATGTTACTGGTGCTCAATGCGTAGCATGCTTCTTCTAACCAACCATAAATGCAAGCTTTTCTGCTTTTTTGTTTCGCACAAATCAAATGTTGCTTGCTCACACGCTCCGCGCCTTGCCGAACCTTTAGAGCAAGCTTATGTGTTTCTTAGCGTGCATTAAACTTAAAGTGTGCAAGCAAGCTCACATGCTTCGCATTTTGCACCCGTTTCGCGCCTTAATTTAATAATGCAAGCGAAAGATACGAAGCACTTGCTTGCATTGGTGCAATCCATTCGCTTCGCCGGCGAAAGATGCGTAGCATTTGCATTAAACTAGTGTGAAACATTCCGAAACATGCGAAACAATTGTTATTTAAACTAAGCTTGTAGGCAACCTACAAAAAAATTCTAGTGAAAATAGATTTGGGAGAGTGGCCGAGTTGTAAAAACTAAGGCTCGTCAGAGTATTAAGAAAGTAAAATCGAACCCTCTCCCCTGCGTTAAAAAAAAAATTATCCTTTCATTGAATTAAATAGAGTCAAAAAAATATCCTAAAGGTTCTCGAAGGTAGCTTTTCTTTTTTTGATCAGACAGCGCTACGTAAGTTGTCTTTAGGTTTATTTATAGTGCTCTCCGAACCGTACAAGATAGTCACCCATCATACGGCTCACCAGTCTAGCTTATTAATCTTTCGTTTTTTCTATGATCGAAGATCTTTATTTTTAGATCTTTGTGCCTAGGCACAAAGATCTAACACTTGATAGTGTAATTCCATTTTCTTTATGAGCTGTTAAGACAAAAAAATTTTCTATGGGGTAGACTTGGGGGCAGTAAATTTTTTAGCTTTTCCCAATTGAGCTTAAGTACGTTATTGTACATAGCTTTATAGAATAGAGATAAGTTACTGAATTGTATTCAGACCTCCTAGTCTACTAGAGAGGTTTGTTCTCGAGTCCGTTGTTGCTGCTATGTACCCCAGAGTTTCGAACTTTCTATAAAAAACAGACAAAGCTGCAATTTAGCACTATCGAAGTAGGTCCCCAGAAAGAAAAAACCTATAAGTATCCTGTTCAAAGTATTTTCAAGTTCTTCATACTTTAACTCTGACGAGCGCCGAAGGCGCCCACCTTATTGTTTCAAAGGTTTCTCACTATAAGCTAAAACGATTAGATTTCTTCCCTTATTTTTTGCTTACCTTTTACAAGGCGCCGTTAGGCGGGGCCAGTACTATAAATCCTCTGACTTCATTATTATAACCCATCTCTCTCGTGGTGGTGGTAGACGGGGGGCTTCGTTTGCGTCTCCTAGGCAAGTTCTTCGAACCTCCTTTCGCTTGCTTTGCAAGCGGTACCGCGCATAATCTAATAATGCGCCGCCTGATAGGAAGGATACCTTGCGAAGCAAGTAAGAATGATCTCACCGTTAGTACCTGCAGTACGACTTAGTTTACTTGGAGATGTCATTAAGTACCCTGTTCCAATAAAGGTTATCTGTCATGCACTGCGCGCCTGATCGTTATTTATCACCGTCAAGTACGTGACTTTCTTGCATAAGATGTTCTTTCTAAAAAAAAGAAGTTTGCAGTAACTTTAAAGCAATCGCAATTCCATGGATATTCTTTTAATCAAGATAAGTTCTTTAAGTGTGTGTAAAGGTCCACCAGGTCTCCTATACGCAAGCTTTGCAAACCTGAAAAACGCTTGCTTTGCAAGCTAGCACACTCCGCGCGTTAGAATTTTGCTTGCTTTATTATGTGCGCCTAATAAAATAATGCCCCGAAGAAAACAAGCGCAGCGAAGCAACCCCCGAAACACATACAACTTGCACATAATCCGAAACACATGCAACTTGCTACGCGAGTTTTTTCGAACGTTCAGCAGTTTGCCTAAGTTTGAACTATAGTAAGATTTCTCGTATATTGATTGATTTGAAGGTTTTGCTTCGCAAAAAAATATCTTGCAAGATTCTTTTTTTTGTTTTTAACTATTTGTAGCTTTCTAAGCAATAGGCACGCAGTGGGCCGAAAGATACTCTGATTTGTGATAAGCTCATCTCTAAGCAAATTCGTTTCTAAATTTTAGAGTTACCAGTCATGTTATGGACAACTGGTTCTAACAACATGCTTTTTTTTCCAACCCTCACAGGTTATGGATAAGTTGCGTGTACACTGCAGGTGCTTTAGCACGGTCGCCCTAAATTCGACTGCGATGGTACCTCGTATTCGAAAAGTTATAACTAAAATAGCTAAACCAATAGCTGATTCAGCAGCAGCCACTGTTAAAATAAACAAAGCAAATAATTGACCCATCATGTCATCTAAATAGACAGAAAAGACTAAAAAATTAAGATTAACTGCCAACAGCATTAATTCTATTGACATTAACATTATAAGTACATTTTTACGATTTAAGAAGATCCCCCAGATACCTAAAAGAATAGAATCATTGAAAACGTTAATATTTAACTAGATCCATAAGTTGCTTTTTTTCTTTAAACCTAATGCGCTGAAACGCTTCGCGGCCTATTGATTTGATCATCTATTTTCTTAAAAAAATGATCAAGTGATTCTTTTTACAGTTGCTAAGCGGCAGAAATTAAAAGGTTTATTCTGCTTCAGTCACGCGCTGATTAATTATCTGTGTTATTAAGATATTATAAAATACCAACTTCTCGGCCCCAAATCCGAAGTTTATTAGTCATTTTCGAAGAGATCATGATCTGGCGGTCTTGTGGTAACAAAAAAAGTAATAAAGTTAAATACATTGTTTAAATTATTTAAGTATTTTAAGTATTTATGGTTTTCTTCTATTTACTTATTAACCATTTTTGACTAGATTAGATGAATCTAACCAAATTAATGCTTGTAGTTCAATTGGATAGAACACCAAACTTCGGATTTGGGGGTTGAGAGTTCAAATCTTTCCAAGCATGGTTTTTAATTTAATAAAATAAAAAAAATCTCAGGTACGAAGGATAAACGAAAGTAGCAAGTTTATTAGTTATCTAGTTAACGTGCGAAACGTCCAACTCATCCATAAATGATGAAATGATTCGTTGTTTATTTTGTTATTTGAAAAGGCGCCAAGCGCAGAAAAATGAGATTACCTTAAAAATACATATTCTAGCGAATCTTCGTACAGACTTTTTTGAACTAAGTCGTTACTGTATTTTTTTATCATATTTAAGAGAATTTTTTGAAGATATAAGAAGCTTGCGCCCTTTTTTCATAATAAATAGTAGAGTAGGATCGAAGGTCTTTACTTAGGCTTTTTCTCAAATGTCCGATTGAAAAATTTCATGGAGTTGCGAAGCACGCAAGCGAAGCTTGCTGTGCTTCGGGTTTGCTTCTTAGCGTGATAATCCAAGCAAGCTCGCACGCTTCGCTAAATAGAAATAATGTCGCAAGTCTATGTTTCGCTTGCTACGCAAACTCATTTCCCGAGGTATCCTATTAGTTTAGTTAAGGCAAGCGAAGGTCTCCTATGGAGACGCAAGCGAAGCATTGCTTGTGGGGAAACGAAAGCGTCAGGCTCTTTCAAGAGTAGCTTGCTACGCAAGCGAAATACCCGAGCTTGCGAAGCAAGCGAAGGTCGCCTTCGGTGCTCTGCGAGGTTTCCGTCAGGAAAGAAGCGAAGGTTCGCTACAACGAGCTTGCAAAGCAAGCGAAGCTTCTTACGAACGTTAGGTTCGAAGAACTTGTCTCCGTTAATAATGTCGCTTGCCTCGCTTTGACGAACCTAAGTAAGGCGCGAAGCGGTCGAAAACAAGCTTGCAACGCAAGCAAAATACCCGAGCAAGCAAAGCTTGCGACGGAGACATACAAGACCGCTCATAACAATGCTTGGCATGGCATGGCGCTTGCGAAAGACGCAAAGCATTTTCGATCTTTCCCCAGCCAAAACAATAGAATAATGCATGTTGCTTGCTCAATGCTCCGCATTCTTTTTTTTCAGCCGGAGGCAATCAGGCATGATTGATTACCGGATGGCGTTAGGACACCGCGAAACATGTATTAACAGATTCTGAGCACCATAATAGAATAGATAAGAATATTTCGCTTCGCAAGCAAAACATTCTCGATTAGTCAACTATGCTTTGTATTGTTTTTTACTCAAAGTAAAGCTGAAGTTATTTAGACAAGTAAAAGAAATATGAGATTATGAGAGTTGCGGTTATATACTATGATATCATAAAAGTATACTGCATTCATTCTACCTATTAGGTTTTGAAACGAGCGCTTGCGAAGCAAACCCACAGAGACGTTCGCTAGAACGAAGGTAAGTGACTCTAATGAAGGTTCGAAGAACTCGCGGTATGTTTTGCGAGCCGGTCGACGGCCCCCCTCTTCGAAACCTTAAAAGAAAACGGGCCGAAGCGATGGCTCCGTAAGGACTAGCTTGCTTTGCAAGCGACACATACCCGTTAGAAGCCAAAGCTTGCGCTCGCACCGAAGGCGCTCAGGCCTCCTTCGCGAGCTTCGCCGCACACTTCGCGGGTTTGCTTCGCTGCGCTCGTCCAACCGGACCATCGCGGAGCTTTTTTCTTCGCAAGCTCGCACACTTCGTGGGTTTGCTTCGCTTGCGCTCGTCAAACCGGACCATCGCGAGCTTTTTTCTTTTTTCTTTTTTCTTCGCTCGCTCGTCCAACCGTGATTTGCTTCGCTTGCGCTCGCACCGGAGGCCACGCAAGCTTTTCCGTCGCAAACAAAGCTTGCTCGCTCTGACGGCCCTAAAGCGGTGCTTCGCCCCCTTCGTTGCTTGTAGACGCAAAGCGAGGCTTACGGCACATTATAATGTGCCGTAAGCCCTACAGGCAAAGCGAGCAAGCAAAGCTTTTTTCAGTCGCAAGCAACATTTGATTTGTGCGAAAAAAAAAAGCGCAAGCTCGCGGGCATTATTAGGCGCACATAATAAATAATGCAAGCAACCGTACGGGTTGCTTCGCTTGCTCGCCCTAGCGTGGTTTGCTTCGCTTGCGCTCGCACGCTTTGCGCCATCGGCTTGCTTTTTGCAAAGCAGCCGCTCCTTCCTTTAGGGACCTTTGGGCGCGGAGCGCAAGCGAAGCGCTCGCATGCTTTGCGGGCATTTAGGCACTCAATAAAATAATGATGCTTGCTCGCACGCTTTGCGCATCGCAAGTTATTCGAATTTCCTCGTGGAAACCAACCAATTAGGTCCGTTGGCCGTGAGATCGTAAGCGAAGCAAACCCGTTAGAACTTTGCTTGCGACGGAGACGCAAGCGGTGCTTCTAGGTAAACCTACAACCAAAAAGAGAACAAGCTTGCAAAGCAAGCGAAGCAACTCTTTTTTATTATAAAAAAGAGTTGCTTTCTTTAGTTTGCGCGTGCTGTGCTACCAAGCAAGCGACATTATTTTATTAGCTTCCTTTAGGAGGCGAAGCAAGCGTAGGCGACGGAGCACAAATAACAAGAGAGGAGTGGACGCTTCGCACCTAGGCTTGCTTCGCAAGCTTGTTCTTTACGGAACCTATTTTTTCAAGGTGTAGCGCAGTCTGGTAGCGCATCTGTTTTGGGTACAGAGGGTCATAGGTTCGAATCCTGTCACCTTGATTTAAGATAATTAGATTAGAAAAAAAGCACATGATACAATGAAGATTAATCGACCATTATCACCTCATCTTAGTATATACAAACCACAACTTACATCTACTTTGTCTATTTTTCATAGAATTTCTGGAGGATTTTTAGCAGTCCTTTTCTTATTTACTATATTGTTTTTAAAGGTATGCGACCTTGGCTTAAGTTTTTATCCAATTTATTGGTGTCTTTTTAACTATTACAGCATATTTTGATTGGTTTCTGTTTAGCTTGGCTAATTTGGCATTATTGGCTTTAATGCTATCATACGAGTAATGGAATTCGTCATCTACTTTGGGATTTTGGATTTTTTTTAGATTTAATCAAAAGTATACATTACAGGCGCTTTAGTCGTGATATTAAGTGCAATTCTTTTAATTCTTTTAAATAGTTGGAAGCTTTATTTTCTTAAAAAAACAAGTCTAATAGCATGAACACAAAGCATTCAGCCTTGAATCATTGGCTTATTCAGCGAGCAACCGCAATATTGTTATTACCTACTATTTTTATGTCAACTTCCTACCGGATGGCTTTGATTTCTTTAACTATTTTAGTAGTTTGGCATCTTCATTTAGGTTTAGAAGAAATTTTAGCAGATTATGTTCACCATGAGGTTACACGAAATCTAATATTAATACTTCTAAGGATTTTTCTTTTAAATCAGTATTAAATACGTCTTTGTTTTCGTGTTAACACATGTACTTTAAAGGAACACGGCGGTTTATCCGCCGTTTTTAATTCTTCAAAAACGGAATCTCTCGCACCGCATAATAATGCATGCTTGCTGTATGTGTTTCAGAATGTTTCGCTTGCATTATTATGTGTTTTTCCTGTGACAATCTTATGCTCATAATAATTTTCTGCGCCCATAAAATAATTTTGCTTTTCTCAATTTCGTTGTTTTAGCGAACCAATAAAAAAAAAAGATGCAAGATAACTATGTTGCTCGATTTCAATTTCAACTTTTTAAGAAAACGTTTTAACTATACTTAATAAGTTTTCTTTAGGCATAAAAACCGCTTCTGTGCTGTTTTGGGAAAGCCCTTGGCGCGCTATTCTCATGGTGTTGTGGGAAGTAGAGGTTCTTTCTTTTAAATTTTCTTTTCTTTCTTACTGCCTGCTTTATTTTTTTTTCATGAAGACTTCTGTGGGTCAGATTGTTTTCTCACTTATTTTAATCCCTTCATATGGGTTGGCAGAAAAAGATTTTCCTTGGCTTTTAATTTTCTATTACTTATTTTTATTCGAAGGATATGTTGTGTACTTAGTTTGTAAATTCGTCCCAGAATTTTATGATTTTTTAAAACAAGAATTTGGCGTCGAGTTTTTAAAAGAATTTTGTGATAATTCCATTTTTAATAAAATTCGAATTCATTTGAGTTTTTCTCTTGCATACCATTTATTCGGGCCTTTGAACAAAGTCATACCCGACGAAAGAGTTAATAAAACATTTTAACGAGCTTCACAAGAGTGCGCAGAGCTCTTCTGATTGGCGCAATACTATGGCGGATCTCTCGGAGCTTCGTCGTCAAGCGAGAGCAGAGGTTGGCCTGCCTTTGACTCAAAGGATGGAAGAAGCGGTGGCTACGGGCATCCTTCATGGATTCGCTAAGATAGGGGAAACGTTTCGTAAAATCACGCGGCAATGGTGAAAAATAGAGTTCTTCGGGGGATTCTGTAGCTAACACTTAAAAACGCATTTATCAATTAAATTTATTATACCGCGGCCAGTTTCACTGGCCGCTTTTTTGTCTTTATTTAATCTAAGGATAAAAAAGAAAGAGAATTTTCTATACCTACAATTTTCTATACTTGCCTACTTTGTAGCTTGCTCACTTTTCTGCGAAAATCTTTCGCTTGCAAAGCAAGTCTGTGTGTTCGTGTAATAATGCAAGCTTTTGAAATGTCTTTCGTTCGCGGAGTTTTCAAATGGCTCGCGTGCGTGATCATGCAGGCAAGCTCCTATTGAAATGAAAACCAATTTAATGATGCAAGTCTCCGTCGCAAGCGCATAATTAATTTAATTTTCATTTCAATAGGAGACCAACAACTACTTGCAAGTCCTTCGCAAGTTATTCGGGTAGGCGAAAGCTTGCAAAGCAACTTCCTTCGGTGCGCGGCACGGTGCGCAGCACGGACCTTCGCTTGCAAAGTTCTTCGGCGCATTAGTTTCCGCCGCCTTTAGGTGCTTAGTTTGCTCGTGCGAAGCACGCGCAAACTAAGCGCAAGCGAATTTCTAAACGCGCCTTCGCTTGCAAAGCAAGCTCGTTTTCTTGCCTGACGGATTCCGCAGTTGCCGTTTAGGGCACCGAAGGTGCTCCTTTACTTGCCTTTGGCGACTAAAGAAAAAAAAAACAAAAACCTTTGTGCCTTCGCTTGCAAAGCAAGCGAAGCAGCTTTATGTTCTTTAGGTGCCAATTTCTCGCACCGAAGGCGCTCCTTTGGTGTCCTGTCCTAAGGCTCGCACGGTTCGCGCCCTCGGTGCGAGAAAGCCTCGCAACGGCGAGGCTTTCCTTACGGGTGTTTCGCGCTAAGGGAAGTTCGTTAGGACTTCAGCGCCTTCGTCGGGTACATTATTAGATTAGGCTGCCGAAGGCGTGATTGGCTTCGCTTGCGCTCGCGCCGAAGTTCTAACGAAAACAAAGAATAATGACGCCAGCTCGCACCGCAGACGGGGCATTATGGTCGCGCATAATATATATTTTGCAAGCTGTGTTTTTACGTATTTTCTTTTTGCGGGGCTAGGCCCTCGCGCTCGTTTTGGGGCTTTTTGCACAACCATAAACGGAACCTGCGGAACCTGACGGAAACATTAGATAGGTTCGAATAATTTAATTCGGCGGACCTGTGCGTGCGGAAGACATAAGCTTGCTTGCATGCATTATTCTATGGGAAAGACATACTTGCGAAAGATGCGAAAGACTTGCATGCACATAATAATATAATGCGGCTTTCGCAGAACAAAAATAATAATATAATGCGCTTTTGCAGAAACAGAAATACAGCTGGCATGCATTGTGCGTATCATTTTTTTGTGCGAAGAACTTGCAAATGATCTAAAAAGCAATCCTGCGGACCGTCAATTCTTTTTAACATACTTGACTGTAGTTGACTTAAAAAATGTCATATTTGCTTCGCACCTGCGGACCTAGCTAAAAAAGAATTTTAGGCCAAATTTTTCAAAATTGTACAAAAAAGTTATGTTGCGTTAACAAAGTTATATGAAGTTTACCAATAAAGCAAAAACTTTCTTGTTACTTACAAAAATGTCAAAGACTGTACTGTAATATTGATACTTGCTGCTTTTTTCTTTGAAGTGAACTTAGATAAATATTTAGCTCAGTGAATCTAGTCTAATTTATGCATAGGGCCGTTAGGCAACAACCTAAAATCTCTGTTGTAATTCAATTCTTAGCAATACTTCACCAAGCTTCAGTGTAACAAGTAATTTATGAAATAAAAAAGAATATTTCAAATAACAAGAATGAAAATTAAATAAAGATGAAAATTAAATAAACTTTATCTTATTCTTTCTTTCTGAAAAAGATATGTGATCAGAATGAAAATATACTTGTAAGTACCACTGTCACTCTGACGAGCCTTATTAGAAGCATAGTCAAATCTTGCCATAAAATAAATGATGTAAAAATCATACAAATTTCGTATAACTCTGTACCAATACAACTACTGGTGGGAAGCAATGGCGTGAAGCGGGTGCGCAGCATTCAATCAATAGTTTTTGTGAAGTTATTCGCTAGAACGAGGTTCCGAAGGAAACAAGCGATGGCGCCTTCGCGAGCTTCGCTCGCTCGCACACTTCGTGGTTTGCTTCGCTTGCGCTCGTCCAACCGTGGTTTGCTTCGCTTGCGCTCGTCCAACCGTGGTTTGCTTCGCTTGCGCTCGTCCAACCGTGGTTTGCTTCGCTTGCTTTTTTCTTCGCAAGCAAAGCACACTTCGCGGGTTTGCAAAGCTTGCGCTCGCACGCTTTGCGCCATCGCGAGCTTTTTTCTTAGCTCGCTCGTTCTAGCGAACCTTCGGTGCGAGCGTAAGCGAAAGCAAATCAGCCGCAGGCAAGAGCGAGGCGAAGCTCGCGAAGGCTTCGCGGCCTCATCAACGGAGCGTAAAACTCTTTCGCCCGCCTACAAGCAACTAACAAGCGGTGCTAGACGGGGAATGCAAAGGTTGCGCACATAAAGGCGAGCGCGGGAGCATTTAGCAAGCTTGCTTGCTAAATGCACTCCTGCCTGAAGGAGCCTCGTTACAACTTTGCTTGCGACAGAGACTTGTTATGGAGACTTGCGAAGCATGCTCAAACTTTCTGCGAAACCTTATCGCGTGCTTCGCACCACGAAAGCTTTGCTTACGATACTTAGGGGTGCCTTTTTTATCAACTTTACGCAATGACTTTTGAAATCAATTATATAAATATTTCTTTAAATTATCAATAAAAAAAAAGTGCTAACGAAAGAAAGCACTAAACTGAATCCAATACATGAGTTTGATCCTGGCTCAGAATGAACGCTAGCGATATGCTTAACACATGCAAGTCAAACGTTGTAACAAAAAAGTTCACAAAGTGGGCGAACGGGTGCGCAACGCGTGGGAATCTGCCAAGTAGTAGAGGAAATTACAATCTAAATCCTCTATATAAGTAGCTTTTTCAAGCCTTAGAAAGCTAGAATGCGCTATTGATGAGCCCGCGTAGTATACGGTAGTTTGGGGGGGTAAAAGCCCACCAAGCCTATGATGCTTAGCTGGTCTTTTCGGATGATCAGCCACACTGGGACTGAGACACGGCCCAGACTCCTACGGGAGCAGCAGTGGGGAATCTTGGCAATGGGCGAAAGCCTGACCCAGCAATATCGCGTGATGAAGAAGGGCAGATAGCTTGTAAAGCTCTGTCATCGAGTTTGAGATAATGACAAGACTCGAAGAGGAAGCCCCGGCTAATTAACAATTGGCCCTTATAGCGCGCAAGCGTTATTCGAAGAACTTGGCTCATAACGGTGGAAGTCTTTGGGATTTGTTACGCTTGCTTATAGTAACTCAAAGGTAATACCGTGGGAAGTCTTTCTAAACAAGAAAAAAAAGTATAATGATTCAGCTGAAATAGGTAGTAGAATTGAAAGCTGGAAATCATCATCTAATATTAATATCCCATAGTATGGTTATGTATTCCTGCACGAAACTTTGGGTCTTTGCGAGAGGCCATTTATGATATTGTAAAAAAGGAAGTACCTACCATGTTCTATAAAAAAGAAAGACCCCCGTAACGACTGAGGAAATGGCATCTGCTTGCAGATTCCAAAGTACAAGATAGCAAAACTTGCTATAAGACGCCGAGGCTCTTGCTGCCAAGCAAGAGTATGGTATAGTCTATGCTTTTGGTGTGAACCAAAGAAATACATGAACTACGTGCCAGCAGCAGCGGTATTTCAAAAACGTTTTGCCGCCTGGAATAGTGATGTTCCAGAAAAATCCGGCTCATAACGGCGAAAGTCTTTATTCCTTAGCGGAATAAAGTAATGCCGTGGAAGTTCTTTGCTGAGAAGCAAAAACCCCGTAACGACTGACTCGAAAGAGGAGAGCTAAATAGCTAATACGCCGGCGCTTACAAAAAAAGGAAAGCAAATATGAGAACTAAAATAGAGAATTTGAATTCAGAAATTAAGGAAGAAGATAGGCTGCGCAGCAGTTGACAGTGCATATTCTTCTATGGTAAGGCAAGCTGCTGCATCGCAAT